TAATTTTGCTTTATGTCACAGTTTCCTATACTTACTGTATGATGTCAGGCAAACATCGTGGCTCATCAAACTAAAAATAGAACCAACATGTTACGATTGGTGCAGTTATTGCATAAAGTTTTTGGAGTAAGGTGAAAAACATTACTACAAAAAGACAAACAGATACTTTCCTGGATTTGTATCAAGAAGTATATTTTGCTTGAATAATATGCTATATGAACATTTAGCATATAGCATGTTAGAAGTGCCGGATAGCTGGACAAAAGGCTGGCGCTCAGTAAGCTAGGTTTTGGTCCAATCTTTTCTTTTAAACAAGCTATCATCATTCTGCATTTTTGCATAGACAGTCAACGTGGAGAGATGATACAATAGCAATTTGTGTCTGTACAAAAAAACAGCAATTTTGGATTCAAACCCACTGTCACTGAGACAAGGACTATAGCCGCCATACGTGGGACACACAACTTAACTGCTAGGCTATTTGGCGCCCTTTAATAATGTATTTTAATGTGTTTTTTAAATGACTTTGTTTTATGTTTTTATTTTCTGTCCAGTATGGTTGTTGACGTCTTTAATCACTTATGTTAGCCCATTCTGTATGCTTTTGGAGCAAAGGAAAATAGGCCTAGGGGTACTAAAAGATTTTCATTGTATGAATGATATAACATTCACTGAATAGTAAAGTTTCTTAATGGAAGTTACCTTTAGCTAGATAGCTATCCAATAAGGATTATACTCAGTAAATTGTTTTCAGCCACTCCACTCATGCTTTGCTCTAAGGAATATCATCATAAAAGGGATGGGGCTATTGATGCAAATAAAAGATGAACATTACATCCACTGTCTGGTAGTGTCACCGAGCCAGTTAAAAGGCTATGTCACTGATTCCTTCTGCTTAGTGCCAAGACAGTTATCACAAAGAAGTGATATTGCAAACAAGAATGAATGATTAGCACTACTGTACATGCTCTGGAAAGTCATGAATGAAAACTTCATCAAACTATATTTCACACTTTTTAGGTAATGGAAACAGTCTTCATCAGGTGTGAAACTCCCAGAATCTCACCTGGGATGACACACTGTTTCATCAACCCTAAACGCACTGCAGTTTGGTCATGAATCAATTCGGAAATGAAGACGTTCATCCTCTGGATTGAGAACGCTTCAAGCTGCCTCACACCCACCTGCGATGAGACGTTGTTTGTTACCTGTCTCATTTCCAAGAAATTATTATTTCGATAACCCATTATTTCGACATTTAGAGCTAATTTTGCTTTGTGTCACAGTTTCCTAATTAAACGTATGATGTCAGGCAAACATCATGGCTGACATCATAGGTAATGGAAACAGTCTTCATCAGGTGTGAAGCTCCCAGAATCTCACCTGGGATGACACACTGTTTTCTACCTGTCTCAGTCCCAGCGATGATTCGTTCCTTGTTCCACTATTGCAAAATAAACAGCGAGCCTTTCTTTCAGTTTCTTATTTAAGTGTCTGGTGACAACATGATTCATTGAAACCAAGAACAGAAAGAGAACTCATAAGTTTGCTAGCTCACTTTGTTACTAGATGTCTTATACATTTTGGAGCTTTTGTAACAAAAGTTCATACAGTTCTATGTTAGTAGGTATCTGAATTAAATAAAATGCACTGATGGGGACAGTGTAAAAGTCATGTTAGCTTCGAGACAGCTAGCTAAAAAGGCTGGTAGCCTGCCGTGTTTTTTTAGTTATGCTAGCTAGCCATGCAGTCTAAACTGCTTTGAGTAAAAACACAAACTTTTTTTGATTTGTAGATCGATGCCATCCCCTATAGTGAAAGATGGCTTGCCTTTACATCCGTCTATATTTATAGCAAGGTGCTCTGTATCTTTTCTCTCTACGTTAAGTTTTATAGAAGCCAATAAAAATCCCTTTGTAGTAAGGCTCCAGCTCTGGCAACTAAATAATAATTGTACGACTTTAACCCACTTGACTGAAATCAAACAGTTAGATGCCAGTGGAGATTGAATAGTTCACATCAATCACTCCGCAGTAATCCTGTGCGTAGCCTGGATTTGCTTTAAGAGATTACCCCTGAGAACTTCGAGAATAGATGTTTTGTTTTCACCTCCAATGTTAAAACTGGCAGTGTAACGTGAGAACAATGTGAGACCTGTGTCAGAACCTTTTAAAGATAAATACGGTGAAGCAGCTATAAACTCTGTCTTCAGACAAATCCGGGACACTCCGGCCAACAAAACAAATCAAAACACAGTATACTCCTCAACTCTGAATAAACATCGCAGTGTTATGGGTTGTTTATTGAGGTGTTACAGCTGCAACTCTTTACTTCCCGCGCCAGTCCTCAGAGAACAATGTGAGGATGTGATTATTTTTGATAATCTCAAGGTAAGCTGCCAGGCTGCCGCAATCCTCGTCTGTTTGTATGTGAAAAAAAAACTCAGACCAGAAACACAGAGGTTTGTTCTACACTGATGCTTTGGCAGATTTATATCATATGATTTCTCAAATATATAAAGTTTCAAATTTGTAGAATAAATCAACAAAACTTTCATCTTTAACAAGCTCACCTCAAGCGTTTATTTAGTATCTGGGAATGTCACATGATCTTTAACAGCAGATTTACTAGGTGTCATGAAATTGTTGAAATGAATATCCATTTGTAGTATAATGTTACAGCGGGGAAAACTAAGCAAATAGGATCGCTATGTTTGTTAAAATTTGAATCACAGTTTAATATAAACTTCAAATCTCGTGATTCAGTTGCAACTGGGTTTGAACCTAAACCTAGTTCACAAACCTCTCTGGATGAGCCAGCTGCTAAACTTTCCACATTTTTGACATCAGAGAAATAATATTTTGTTTGACTGTATATCAATCCCACACACACACACACACACACACACACACACACACACACACACACGCAGACGCACACAGCTCCACCAGCACAAGCCCAGATCATTTAGAGGGCTGCTTAATATTAATTAAGCAATAATTCACATATTTCACATAATTCAGCTCTTTGGAGACTTCTACACTGAAACTGACTCATGTGACAGGTCAGTAGTATTAACAGAGTACGTAGATATAAACCAAACAGATATGCCTGAAAGTACTACACATTCAAGGTAAGGGGGCCCTCTGGTGGTAAGAATGGTGAATTACAAAAATACACAACCTGAGAAATAACTGATAGCTTTGTCCCATAAATGACACTGGAGACTTGTGGTAGCTGGATGAAGCCTGCATGAAGTTTTGGGACTTTCTTTTAAATTGTGCTCAAAACCATAAAGCTTCTTGCAAGATAACACAGTTTGGTGTTTAAAGTTACAGAAAAGCATTGACTGTGATCTCTTTTTGTTTGCTATAAAGTACAAGATGTCTAAATGTGTATTCTGTGTCCGTCCTGTGGCTCCATTCAGGAGTGTCATTCCCCACTCTCCTTGATTTCCTACTCTACCCACTTTCCTCTCTCAATAATGGCAAAAGCTCAAAAATAAATCTTTATAAAAAAAAAAAAAAGGTTTGGGTCTATTACATAGGTTAAATGTCATCAGCATTGTGGGTGATTCTAAAAAAGAGTTTAAAGGGTACTTTGAATTTAAAGGTGCCTTAAAACCTCCAAAAAAACTTCTCTTTTAAGGCCACTGACTGCTGCTGTTGATGGCTTTTCAAAATTAAGAAATATGAAAATCTGTATCCGTTTATCCTTTGATGAAGACATGGCAGCTAAATAACTGTAACCCTATCTTTTCCCTTAAGCCTTCTGTTTTTAAATTTATTTTTCACTGATATTTTTGCGTAACTGTCTGACTGTGGGCCCACTGATTACCCAGTTCTTCATGGTGGCTGTTATTAAAAAAAAAAAAAAGACCTTTAAAAAAACAAAACAAAAAAAACCATCGTCAACAAAGAGGCGCGGCTGAATTACATCTAATGTAGCGTTTCTGTGACGTCATCGAAACGCGCCACACCGAAAGCTTTCTTGAAGCGGTAAGCATTTTATTCTCTACAAAGACAGATTAAATCCTCGCTTTAGTTCAATGTGATGTTATTATTCAATGCGTTTGTGTGAGAAATATAAACATGGAAGTGACCACGGTGACGTAACGTGTAAAATCGTGAAGCCAAGCGGGGTGTAAAAATTTTGTCGATTCATCTTCGTTTAAGCATCAAGTTAAATGTTGTCAGAGAAACATGAACACACTGATGTTATACTGTCCTTTAATAGTCATTAAAACAGTCATTATAACTTCACTTTATAAACATAGTAACTTTGACTTCTTGGCTGTTGGATTTGACATTTTCTGTCTTTCACTTTCACAACCTGAGAAGATTAAACAAACCTGGTTGATGCTGTTTTGTCTTTTTAAGCCTTTCAGCTGAACGTTGTGTTTGTTTTTATTCTGCCAGGCTTTGACTGCAGTTTCCCAACATGGTGAGTTATCTCAATGATGAAGGTGTTGATTTGTGTTGTTGCTGTTAACTTGTTGTGGGATAAAAACAAATCCTGTGTGTAGGTCAGTTAATAGATTCAGGTTTATGTTGTACTTTCTCTTGTTTTTGTTCAGTCTAAGTCAGAGAGGGCCACATTCATTTAAATCTGACTGCCAGAGGGGCCAAATTGTAGGATATAAAAAACGATAACAGTTAATTATGTCTCAAATTTAACTCAACATATGCCAGTGATCAAATATTATTATGGAAATATTTCTGGTTTTCATGATTTCATGGCAGATTTTGTCATGTTTTGATATATAAAAATTGTCCTGAGGGCCACATTGAGGGTTGACGAGGGCCGCATGTGGCCCCCGGGCCGCCAGTTGCCCACCCCTGGTCTAAGTCATTTACTACATCTTCTAGTCGTATAGATATATATATAGCTATAATAACAACTGTAACGACCTAAATTCCCTCCGGGATGAATGAAGTATTTCTGATTCTGGTTTTCTTTTTCCTCTCAGTCTCGTCGATATGATTCACGGACAACCATCTTCTCACCTGAAGGTAAGAATAATTTCTGAATGATGTTTATGATCAGGCAGCAGGTTGAATAATGTGACTGTTTCTGCCACTTGTTTTCTCTTTTTAGTTCGGCAACAATTTCTGAATAACGGTTTCAAATTAACCATTTCTAGACCAGTGGTTCCCAAAGTGGGGGGGGGAGGGGGTCACAAGACACTAGGACAGGGGGTCGTGAGATGCCTTCCAAAAACAAATACAGATTTTAAATGACTTAAAATTGCATATATGTTGCATTTTTATTTATATGCATACATGTAAATAAAAATGCACACAGACACACTGAAGTAATATAATTGTCTTGGGGCTGTTGTATGCTTTAGCGTTGGTCTAATGTCAGTGTTTGGCCTATAAGTGTGTGCTGCTGTGGGCAGCGTTAAATGCTTTAACCACTTCCAGGGACAGAGGGGTCCCTGACTGTCTCTCGCATAGATTTTTGGGGCGTCCGGTATGAAAAGTTTGGGAACCCCAGTTCTAGACATCAAGGTTCTTTAAAATGTATTGCCTTTAAATGCTTCGTACTTGATATTTAGCACTGTCTCTGTTTCATTTGCAGGGCGTCTGTATCAGGTGGAGTATGCCATGGAAGCCATCGGTCACGCCGGCACCTGTCTGGGAATTCTAGCCAACGATGGAGTGCTGCTGGCCGCTGAGAGGAGGAACATCCACAAGCTGCTGGATGAAGTGTTCTTCTCTGAGAAAATCTACAAGCTGAATGAGTGAGTAACTACTGGTACTTCCTTGTAAAGGCATTCCTAGGGTTACAGAGCTTGTCATGCATGACTTTGATCTAAATACTTTTTTTTTTGTGTGTTTTGATTTTTGCCACAAACAATTAGAATGTATTGTGAGTAGGCAGAGACAACAGTGACAGTTTTTAATCCTATCCTAAATGTTCCTGTTTCCTTGCAGGGACATGGCGTGCAGTGTGGCAGGAATCACATCAGATGCAAACGTACTGACCAATGAGCTGAGGCTCATAGCACAAAGGTGAGCCCCCCTCAGGAACACATTAAGTGTCCTGCAGCCAAATGATTCTAGTGAGACGAAATAGAAATAGAAATATGAAGGTGTTGATCTGTGTTGCTGTTCCAGGTACCTGCTACAGTACCAGGAGCCAATCCCCTGTGAGCAGCTGGTCACAGCGCTGTGTGACATCAAACAGGCCTACACCCAGTTTGGAGGTACAAAGAAGCATGACACAACTCTCTGAGAAGTCTTTGATCCACCTGATGAGACATGTTTTAAGATCATCGATCTATAATAATCTATAAAGAGGCTAACTTTTGCCTTTTTAATTTTTTTTTTAGTTGGACTATTTTGCCCAGCTTTGAACTTTTTATTTTGTCTTTTGTCAACAACTCAGAACTCATTTGCTGTCATTAGTTGAAAACCAATCAAAAACGCACTCGTGTACACAAAGTGTTGTTTCACAAGTTTCCAATAACTATCTGAGGACGGCAAGTTTCTGTACTTCTGGCTGGACTCGGATAAGCATTTTATTGGAAATGTACTTGGAAGCTTTAAGGGCCGTGTGCAGATTATCCTGCTGCTGTCATATTTCCAGAATTTAGAGGATTCAGATGGCAAGTGTAAAGGTAGCATAACCTCTGGTCACAGTAGTGAGGAAGCTTAATAAACACTCACATCTTATTAAGACTTTTCCAAAAAAGAATATAACTATATTATAGTGTTTCCGTCTTAAGTGTTTGTGTAATTACTCGTGGATTTCTAAACTTTTAACTTATTTTGATTTAACTCAAAAGGGGGTTGCCCATAATGCTAAGATTACTCTATAAGGTCGCGCTACAATGCCAACTAAAGCCCTATTCACACGGGACTAGTATTACCTGGGGACCTCATGTGATTTAGAAATTACCCCACCACGTCTGTGTTTCGTGCGGCGCATTCACACGGGATAAGCAAAGTCTGTGTTTTAACTCGAATTTACTGACATTATCCCCCGCATATGATGTCAAGTGTTAACCTTTCCTGCTGCGCCATTCCGACCGTGGTCAGAGCGCACAGGGGAGACTTATTGGTCTGCTCCAGGGCCGAAGTTGTAGCCCTCACTTTAACTGGGGTGCATCAAGATGTGAACAGACACGGAGAGTCCGGCTTGTAACCTGAGGTGTCAGGCCGTTTATTACGCACAAAAATCTCGAACTGTACATACACTTCAGATGCTGACAGTTTTTCGTCTGCGCTGATTCTGCTCCGGTCCCCGTCATCAGTAACGTGCATCTCGCACACACCTGCCGAACACAGCCTCCCCTCGTTCTCTCTCTCTCTGGCACTGAGCCATTCACAGACATACGCTACTAGTATAACACAAGGCTCTGCGTAATCTATACCTAAAAGATAGAAAAATGTTCCATGCATCTTATCATCTTTGGAGATTTCTCTCTACTGATGGATTTGAGCTTGCTCTTTCTGCGAATGGGTCTCCATGCTGTGTAGGTAGATGAGCCTCCTGGATTTGCACCCAAAATTCTATCAAAACTTTCATTTAGAATTGCCAACGCAGCCTGCATAATTCTCGACCGGGAAAAAGGCAGAAAAGAAGGTGCGGAGAACACAACAAAAACAAAAAACCACCCCAAATCACAGAGATACCGACTCGCACAGACTGATATTATCACATAACCTCTGTGTTTGCCGAAATATGTAGGTCATTTGCGTGGAATTTTTACTTTCCAAATTATGGACATGGCAGATTCGCACGGAATTAAGATCACAGATGACCTCTGCATTTATTACAAATGACTAGAGGTCCCCAGATAATACTAGTCCCGTGTGAATAGGGCTTAAGACTGACTGATAGCGTATGAACTTTATGACAAATCAGGACAAGAGTTTTAAAACTACTCCTCACAAGTTTGAAAAGCTTTAGAGTTAAACATCAAAGCAAGAAACGACAGAGACCCTTCAGTTGGATCACTGTTATGACGTCATGGTATGTGTGTGTCTGTTCTCACAGGAAAGCGTCCCTTTGGAGTGTCTCTGCTCTACATGGGTTGGGATAAACACTACGGCTTCCAGCTCTACCAGAGCGACCCCAGTGGAAACTACGGAGGCTGGAAGGCCACCTGCATCGGGAACAACAGCGCTGTGAGTCTCACAGGGATTCAAATATCTTAATATTTGGACTTAAACAATGTGCAGATGTGCTGATAAAAAAGTGAAGGGCGTTAAAAACCTGCTATTCCAAAAACGGACACCAGAGGGCGCAGGTGCATTTAAAACACAGCAGTTATAAAAAGAAGCGTAGGCTCACAGTAAACACACATGCTGTGCCCTACATAGTGCTGACTCTTGTAAATCCTGAATCATGATGGCTCTCTCTAATCTGAGTGGGTCTCAAGAGGGCTGCACACAAAGAACTGTAGGTAACAGAGCAGCTTCAGAGCATCGTGTGAACTCTTTGTCCAGGAGACCACACAGTACCCTGAGTGCATGCACTTTTACTTTTTGGGTCGATAGTGAGGAAACACACACCTGGTCCTAACAGTGAGCATGTTCTTTCTCACATCGTGAGCTGTTCAGGAGCACATCTCAGATTCCCAAGAGACGAGGATAAATCAAGGTGTAAATGCAATCCTCACAAAAGCTAACAGATGAGATTCTGCAGGACTGACAAGGAGGACAGTGTTTTAGGACACAATCAGAGTGGCTTTAACTTTGTCTCTCTTTTCTTTTCTTTACACCCCGATAGGCCGCCGTCTCCATGCTGAAGCAGGACTTCAAGGAGGGAGAGATGTCTCTTTCCACAGCTCTCGCACTGGCCGTCAAAGTTCTCAACAAAACCATGGACGTCAGCAAGCTCTCTGCAGAGAAAGGTGTCGATTTCAGTCAGATACTGAACATTCTAAAACTTTTCATCGATGATCACACAATATATTTTTATATACAGACATCGTACATTTAGACAAATAACTAACCATCCCAAGCACCTCTACAAAATGTATTAGAATTCCTTCTATGTGAAATGAAAAAACAGCTGGCTCATAGAGAAACATCAGACCCTCAAGGTTCCCTCGCCTCTAAAAAAAAAAGCAATTTAACATTTCTCAACTCATTCTTTCAGTTCAACAGCTTTCAACTCTACCGATTGGTTCCATCTTACGGCTCTTACAGCACAGTTTGGAGGCGCACGAGGCAGCTAAACTGCAAGAACTAACTAAACAGATTTAAATCCATGCGTCAATGCCTGCTCAGCACCAATAGGTCAAAGATAGGGACTAGCTGCTTGGTGGAGCCAAAAAGCTAAGCTCAAAGGAGAGAACATATTGGTCCTATATTCATCATGTGGACATGATCCTGACTCTGCAGAGACGGTAATATTGCTCTTTACCTGCTGGACATGGGAATAGGCAGCTGTTAACAAACAAGTTCACCATTAAATATTTAGGAATTGATAATGCATAATTGATGTGCTTAAAGCCTGTTGTGCTGCTCCTAGGGTGCCAAACAAGCATTAATGCATCAAAGAAGGTGCCAAGTGCGGTTTAAGTATCAATAAAACATAACCAATCAACTGAGAGGCATTGATTAAACTACTGCAAACACATAACACCTGTATTGGATGTTGTCATAAAGGTCACATATAATCTTCTTTTTCAACCAGATTAAATAAGTCTCAGAGCTCCCCTAAACATGTCTGTGAAGTCTCTCTCTAAAAATCCACTCTGATCCTGTAATTGATCATGTCTATAAACCCCTCTAGTTCAGCTCTGCTCAGAACAGGCTGTTTCTGGGTCCGTAGCTTTAAAATGCAAATGAGCTGTGTTTGACCACGCCCCTCTAGAAGGTTCTTGGGCTTTCTTGCTCAATGCCTTATTATTTATGGTGAAATGGCAGACTCAGGGCTGAACAAACACCTAGCTGTGGGAGCATCACCCCTCTGGGGTAGGGACTACTGCCCTTTGTGATGTCACAAAGGGAAAATCTCCAAATGGCCTGTTTGAGCACACATTTTCTGAAGTGGAGCAGGCAAAAGACGGAGAGGATGGACTTTTCTAATAATTGGGGGATTTGTAGACAGACTAGGGACACATGTAAGTGTTAGAAAAACATGTTAAAGTGCATTTTGCATAATACGTGACCTTTAATCAGTTATCATCGATAACAGGCTGTGTAGTAAAGTCTGAGTAACTGGATTCGTGATGGATTCATGTCCAACCCGAAGCACTGAGTACATCCTGTTATTCATGGAAACATGAGCACAAGTATAAACAATAACAGCACATACCAGAGATATAAAGGCTGACGTTTGTTTTCAGTGTGTGTTTGTCTGTATGTTTTGGTAGGTCTACAGACACAGTGATCTTTCATACCCGGTCAACCTGTATGATGTCTGTCAGGTGATCAGCAGTAAATCCTCTGTTCAAACATTTTCAAGCAGCCATCATCACTTCATACCAAATTCCTCTTCTGCCATATATAGAAATGAAACATTAAAAGCCTTTGAAAAGTTTTTACCAGTTTCAAATGAAGCAGTAAATGCAGCAGCAGCCGATCCCTAAGTGTCTGACTGTCTTTATGTGTTTCAGTGGAGATCGCAACTCTGACCCGCGAGAACGGCAAGACCTGCATAAAAGTGCTGAAGCAGAAGGAGGTCGAGGAGCTGATCAAGAAGCACGAAGCAGAGGAGGCCAAAGCCGAGAAAGACAAGAAAGAGAAGGAGCAGAAAGAGAAGGACAAGTAGAGATGCTGCCCTTAAACTGTTTAAGTTTTGTGTGTGAGAATGAAAGTGAGCTTGTGAGTGACATGGTAAAAAAAAAAGAAGAGTTTTCAGGTGTTTGTATGCTTGTTTCTGAAAATAAATACAGTTGACAAATCATTGACTCACCGTTTGATTTCTTATTTAGTTTGTGTTTCAGTGCTGCAGACTTGAAGCTGTTTAAAGCTCAAAGCACTTGGCTTTGTTCAAAGTCGTAACACGTATTGAAACGTAAAGTGATTGAACTAAACTGGACAAAAACTCTGAACAGGTAGAAGAAAATCTGAATAAAAATTCACTCTTTTTGCTCGTTTCTTTTGCAACCCTCTTCAAAGGTCTCAGAGTTGAGACAGATCCAGTTCGTTACATTTATGTGGCTTAACAGTTGAACTCAATATGCCATTAAGGCACTAATGTGTGAGCTCAGTCTGTTACAGCGCAGAGCAGCTGGTCTTAATGTATTCTGCTGGAATCCTGTATTGCATACTTCATACTGTTATGAAACAGGACACTCCTATTACGCAATGATAAACATGTTTGTCTTATAGGGCTGTCAGAGAACTTAATATTAGGGACGGATTTCACAAACACGATTTTAAAAGAGTTTTATTACAAAACTGTCAATCAAGTATTTGTAAGTCACAGTTTTGCAGGTTGCCAAATCGCGGACACTGAATCTTCAGTGTTTAGCCGGCCCTGCATTGGTCTTGAAACCTTTCTGCTTTCTACAGTAGCCTTTTCTCAATTTTTCAAAAAGCATCTCCAATATTTATCCTAGTTTGACCACGTTTATGGTGGTGGAGCTTATTTAAAAAATAGCGAGGCTTTGTAGGTCAGGTAGAATCAGTTCTATCTGAACTAGTAAGCTTGCTCGCTTTCATCGCTGCAACACATGTTAGCTGTTTGCCTGGCAAACCAAGGGCCGTTGAAAACGGCAGTGTGGGGGTGCATTAAAACTGTCTACCTGCTCTGGTCAAAACAGAAACAAACCATTCTGAACTGGAATCAAATGTAGAAAGAGGACATACTGATTGCTGCACTGTTGTCACATAAGCCAGAACTTTATCATGGCAGGTTTCCTTAATGTCTGATGATAGAGTGAGGTCATTTTATGATTAAATTCAGTAGACATGTTACATACAGTAATGGTCCTTTAAGCTTTAGGTAAGTAACGATCCAACAGATTTCTTTCATATTAAGGAAGGTTCTGCAGGAATTTAAAAAAGCTCTTATAGCTGATGCTACACTGTTCCACCATGAGGTACATTGAGCAGTTGTTCCGGTGCTTTTGTGCCCCTTAGTGATGGAAGTTTAGACTTCCAAGTTTCCATTAATTTGAACCCCTTAGAGACCTCTAAAACATACTTAAAATAACCCATGTCCACTAGCTGATATTAACACAATAACATTTCCACTACTAGATACATTTAGTAGCTGTTTTGGAGTTTTCATCATTTGTTTGTTTGTAGTGTTCGTTATCAGCAGCTGGAGCTGCCCTTTAGTAATGAAAATAGAGAATAAGTTTGATACAAGGCGGTTTGACCAGAAGCTCCAGAACAGCTACCAAAGAGACCTTGTGTCAGACTATTTTGACTACTGTTGTTTTAAAGACAAGGACAAACTTTCAATCTAGAATTTAATTTTGGACAAAAAAAATCCTTAAAAGCAGCAAAAATCATCAGTGTCAAACTCAATCTCCTGATAGAGACCATGTAATAAGCATGAAAGCTCCTGAAAGTTATCGCATAAGGTGAGATTATCTTTTTAAATGCTGCTTCCAAGGTCAAGAATGAACTCTGAATGTCCCGTGTAAGCAGGCGTGGACAAAAGGTATTTTTAAGTGCTCCTAAATGAGAAATGAGAACATCTCCAAGTTCTACTTAAGTTCATGTAATGTGGTGGAAAGCTCCAGAACGGCTACATAATGGCTTATGTGTTCAGCGTTAGTTTAGTGAGGACATGATGAGATAATAGCAGAATCAGAGAAAAGTAGGTTTCCATTGGAGCGGTGATCCTCAGGCTGCTGCAGTGTAAGTCTCTTAAGAGCGGATTAGCCATTGACTGGCTGGTTTTAACTCTGCTCACCGGACACTGAGATGGCAGGACAGAGATGGGCAGGATCGTGCTGTGAGTGCAGATCATGTCGTAATCAGCCTCAATCTGAGGTGAGTTTATGTAACATTAGTGTAAGATTAAGGCCAGGAGGGGACTCTCTGACTCTTGACTTTCAGTCCAGCAGATTAGTGACACAGCTCGAATTCCTGACTTCAGATTTTTCACTGTTGTGTCATCACTTCTTCTTCTTCTTCTTCTTCTGGAGGTCGAGGAAGTAGGAGCCCTGAACGAAATATCACCCAATAAAAATGGATGAAACACACTTTAAAAACAAAACAGAAACAATTAAACGATATAAAGGAAACACAATTATTGGTACATTCTCATTTGAACTGATGAAGTTTCTGTCAATAAAATATTGTTTAGTGTCCATTGTTAAGTGTTGGGAAGCCCCCTTGTGATTGGCTTAAAGTTTAAAAGTGTGGAGTACTCTTTGGTTGATGAACGTTTAAGTTGAATACAAATGACATGACAAATGCAATGTGTGGTGGAGGGCTCTCTTCTCTAGCCTATGGATAGTTAGCTCTTAGGCACCTACCCACAAGAAACTGAAGGTGTGCATCAGTCTTCAGAGAAAAAAAACTGCTTGCAAAAAATAAAAGAAAACAACAAAACAGAAAATGAACACAAAAACCCCATAAAAAACAATATACACAAGGTGTCAGTCGCCTAGTTGTTAGTGCACTCCCCATGTACAGGGGCTTTAGTCCTCAAAGCGGATGGCCAGGTTGGAATCTGACCTTTAGCTCCTTTCCCCACTCTCTTCCTGATTTCCAACTTTATCCACTGTCCTATCTCTACAATAAAGGCACAAAAGCACAAACATAAATCTTTGAAAAAGATCTCAGAACATCTCAGTGATCAACAACAAAAACAGAAAAAAAATGAGAATGTATGATTAGAAAACACAAAATTTCAAAAACTATTGATTCCTATATCCAATAAGTCTTGTGCAACTTTAAAGACTTGGATCCCTATTTTCTCAAAGTAGAGTGTGTGTGTGTGGGGGGGCTTCTTTCAGAGATAGGACAGTGGATTGAGTCATAAAAAGAGTAAGAGAGTAGGGAATGGAGCCACAGGTCAGATGGGCTGTTTCAGTTAACTCTCTGGAGCAGCGTTGTGTTGTTTTAAACCTGAAGACAACAAACTGCAGGTCAGCGCTCTGACCTCTGATGGCTCCTTCTCCTTTAAGAGGGGAAAAAAAACAAAGGAGGCTGGGGGTGTATTAGAGACGCAGATATAGCCCAGCTGAGTTCATTCTGGCCTGAACACTGAAAATAGATCTCTAGATCAACTGACTGTGGAGGCTTCAGTCGGTCCCTGGCGTGAGGCCAAGGTGAGCTGTTCTGTGCTGTCAGCTGAGCTGGTCGGAGATTAGCCGCTGAGTCAGCGATTGGCTGAAACACAACTCATCACAACTACTGTTCCTTAAAAAAAAAGAAACACACTTTCATTTCCTAAATAATCAGACTTGTAGCGCTTCTCTATTTAATTTTTCTTATCTCCTGTCAATCTTAATCAGGGCCGCCATGGCAGTCTGCTTGTATAATCGTAGTTATTTCAAGGCCAACAGTTTGGTTTCTCAGTTTTCTAACCTTTGCCCAACCATGTGCGGTTCCCATTGGATGTTTAATGTGATAATAATAATAAAAAACATGTGACAGAGACACACATGCATCCCCTGAACCCAAATCTGTCAAAAAACAAAAACAAACAGAAAAAGTCTGTTTAGATAACAAGTTTTATTGTTCCCCCCCAAGACAAAATTTTCCAAAGTATACAAGAGTGGATTGTCGTTGAATGTTTGCTAACACTATTGTCACTGAAAACAAAAAATAGATCCCTAAAACTATCACAGTAAACATTAGAGAAATATACATACATAAAAATAGACCTCTGAGAAAAAATTCATATATTGACATTTCCTAACAGCTTATAGTCAGGGCTTAATCAGTAGCAATGAAGACTCGTATGTTCTGAACACATGCAGGAGAAGAACAAGAAGAAGAAGGCGGCCCCCACCCCATCCCAACACCAACATGGAACAGTCGACTATCATGTTTGTCTGAGGTGCAACAGGTAGTACGGCTGGCATGGGGAATGTAGGTTTATATTGCTTTACATACCAAACTAGGGATTCAATCAGCTGAATTCCAAAAAAGGACTTAAAATCAATCGTTTTTTACAGACACGGATTCTTTGGCGTTTTGGTTATAGAATGCTAAAAACAACAAAACCAAAAGTAAAACCTGCATAAGATTCCTCCTGTGTTTTGCATATATGGCAATAACCTGAAGTGCTGCTGTTTGTTGTTGTACCCCTCTGTCGAGTTTCCTCACATTAGGGTCTGAATCAGCATGGGGTGAAATATGGAAACTGTGAGACATTCTTCAATAAGACTTAGGAGTAAAAAAAAAAAAAAAAAAAAAAAAAAAAATATAAACATTGCATTCTCCTCTTTAGGCACAAAAAGCCCCCGATTTTAATCAAGCTTTCAGCTGACGTTGGGGAATCAAACTGATGACTCTTGGGGGCTGAATGAAGCCTCACAAAGCCCAGTTTGTGCCTCTCGTATGTAACCATTATTCCAGTCACAGGGTGTTTCAGTGATCTTTGGAAAAACCCAGAAGGTTGTTAAACAGAAGTTTGCACTGTTTGGGGGCTGATTTACAGCTGAATAAAATAGATTGACTGTTTCAAATCCAGATCCCCCTCCCCCTCTCAAGTTGTGCTTTTTTCAAAATCAAGACAGCAGCTGTAAATTTCATTGATCTACAATACAGAGCTGAATAAAACTGCTCAATAGAAAGGGATATATTTCCCTACATACTGTAGGAGCAGTAGTTCTCAACTCGCCTAGCCTAAGGACCCACCACCAACTCCTTAATTTAAATCGCGATCCAGATTTCTGATATTTTTTTTCAACCAATCAGATTTATAGAATGAGAAAATGTGCAGTCTGGACCTCAGATGGTGCAAAACACGTGATGGAATAAAGAGAAG